ATTGGCCCTCCTGGTTTGGGCTATTGGCGACGCAGTCGTCGCGGAGCAAACAGGCAAGCGCCGCAAGCCAACCAGAACGACCCACGCATCGCCAGATGTGACCCCACGCTTTTGTGTCGGCAAGCTCTGGCCAAGTTCTGTAGCAACCAAGAGCCCGGAGAGGCAATGATGAAGCAACATGTGAAGCCTCGAACGAATTCTGCCAAATCCGAGCCCTCTCGGCCTAGCTCAAGGCACATCTGCAAGGCTCACCAAAGCCGACAGCTCCACGCCCCAGGCTCTTGAAGGTCTTTCGCTTCCCTTCGCGCGCTCAAGTGAGGCGAGGCAACATGAAAGTCGTGGCCACTAAAGGTATTGCGCTCGTCTGCTGAGGTGGGAAGATGATCTGCTGCATCGCTAGGAAAAAGCTGCTGCAAGCGCAGTGTCGGCCAACTCTGTTCGGCCAGCCGCCTGTTGAATCAGCACGACTCAGCTTGTTTTGCTTTGAGGGGTTGGTTCAAAGGAAGGCCAAAAAGAGAACAACCACTTTGGGGGTCCTCCAATCTTGACACCAACCCCTGTTGCGACAGCTGATACCTGTGCGAAGACTCAGTTACTCTCGAGCTGCCACTTGGTTTGCAGCAATACAACCATGCTTACGGCGTCTCTTCTTCTGCGGGCTCCGTGCACATGACCGCAAGGAACAAGCACGCACCACTAGCGAAGCACATCCCTCATGCGTCAAGGAACCATATGGCATGAGCTTGCGAATGCCAAAGCCAGCGCCAACTGAAACGGAGGTCTGAAACTTGGAGACCAGTATAGCTCCAAAGGCCACAGGAGCCACACGACTGGCGCTTGAAGCCCGGTGACACTTGCCAGAAGGGCAACCTGAGAGCCGGGAAGAGCAGCAGACTTCATGGATTAATGGATGCCTGACACTCGAGTTGCCACTTGTTTGCTTGATCAAAAGTTCAACCAAGTTTGTGGAACTATGCTTCCTTCAGAGAAGCCCCCTTGATGTCGGGACGCAAAGCTGCCATTTCAGCAGCGCACTTTGTTCGTTGCAGAAAGGAAGCTGCACGCATGTGCTTCGGACTTCTTGATTCTGGCCTCTCGCGCGTTTGCCTGCGGAGCACGGGGATGCGAAAGAGCTGCATCGGTAAGTGCAACCACCTGCCTCCTTTTTCAACCGGCGGATTCTCGCCCATCGCAGAGAAATACACCTCTGGAATCGAGTGCGGCGCGGAGAACAAAGCAAAGCTGTTGTCTGCATTGGCTGCACAGGCACCACCTGCAAACCCCTGTGGCATGGCCGAAGGCGTGAGGCGGCTTGCACACGGTTGGCATGCACACCAAGTGCAGCATGTTCAGCATACTGAGAATGGGCAACATGACATGAGTGCTGTTGCAGGACAAAGGCAGCATGAGTCAGCCGAAAATGAGAGATGCTACGGGACCTGAGCGCTACTGTAGGTTCGCAGAAGTTCCACCAAGTTGCTTGCGGCCAATGTGGGCGCGCCTCCCTGATTCACGCTGCCGCAAGCTCCGACATGCCCATGCACGCAAGCGCTTCACTAACAGCTTGCAAGTGCCGACCAAATCTCCCGGCGAGCGCCGGAGACGGGCGTCTGGGACTCGCAACCCAGCATGGCTTGAACTATGTGCAGCCGCCCTGCAAGGACCACGGGCCACACTGCCAGGCTTTAAGGGCAGTGACCCGCCTGGCAACCAAGCTGAGATGGCCCAGGGGCTCACTGTCAACTGAGTCGTGACTTTGCTCCCTTTAAACTTGATTGCACGTATCCCCTGCGAAACCTTCCGAGCTTCCGCGGTGTGAAGGCTACCCTCCGCGAGCATGTTTCTATACATGTGAGCGAGCGGCAAAACCTAAGGCTACGTTGGGCGATTTAAGTTATCTCTTTTGGGGTTTCACTATATCGTTCCTGAAGGTTTCTGACACTTGTCTCTCGGGGTTACACTAAATCACCGAGAAATATCTCTGCACCAGAGAGTAAAGCCTCTCGCTCATGTGCTTCCGCAGGGCATGTTGCTTCTGGAAATTGAGGAAGGTAGCTTCCGCGAGGGAATTCGTGCGCCGATCTGCTCTTAATCCTAGTAAGAGCAAATGTATTTCTGGAGGGAGCAAATCAACCCGGTCCCTTGCTTCCGCGGGAGAAAGCCTTCTGCAAACTTTCCGCAAACCTTCCGCGGCTGCCGTGGGATGCTACCCTTTTTGTTGATATGTCCACCTCTAGACATGTTTGCTTGAGCGGGGGATCAACAACTTCCGCTCAAATGGAAGCCTGACCCGAGCTGCCAGGCTTGCAAAAGCTCCAGCAACATCAGCTCAAAGGTCCTGTCAAAGGACAAAACGCGATCACCCAAATCGCCTCTTGCGCAGCGCCCGATGGGCCACGTGCAGGCTGCTCGGCGACTGCCGGCTGCCAAGGGACGCTGGTCGTCCCAAACTAAACTGCCGACACCGCCTTGTAACCTCGGTGCTTACAAGGGGCTCACAGCTCAGGGTGAGCACGAGGCAAATGTTTGCACTGCCTTCCTTGCAGTTCCGGTAACAAGTTAATACTGAATTGTCAACAGGAGGGCTAGACATTTGGAACATAGATCTATCCCCTTGCTGCTGCCTCGGTCGAGTAAATATTGAAGTCCTGTGTGTGCCGGCGGCCTCTCTGAAGGGTCTTGCAAGCTGAGACAACAGCATGGAACTCGTTGGGAATTGGACGCCTGCTAACACTCGAGCTGCCACTACCGTAGTTCAACCAAGTTGCTTACGGCCAATGTGGACGCAGCTCCCTGACTCAACCTTCCGCAAGCCCCGAAATGCCCATGCGCGCAAGGGCTCAGGCTAACAGCTTGCAAGTGCCGACCAGCGTCTGGGACTCGCAGCCCAGCATGGCTTGAACTCTGTGCAGCCGCCCTGCAAGGCCCACAAGCCACACTGCAAGGCTTCAACATCAGTGACCCACCTTCTGGCAACCAAGCTGAGATGGCCCCATTTTTATCAGCACAGGAACTCATTGGAAAATGGATGCCTGTTGGCACTCGAGTTGCTCGATTTGCAGAAGTTCAAGCCAAGGCGATCGGCCTCTCGGATTCTGCTCCGAAATGCGCATGCCAGAATCACATGGATCAAGCTCGTACTAGCTCAACGGAGACGGCCTGGACTGGAAACCTGGCATGGCAACTGACCTGGGCCTAAAAATGCCCTTTTTGTGATCTCAAGATCGAAACTAATATTCCTAAAACGAATGGACGTATGGGTCCCTTCCGCGAACCTTCCGCAAACCTTTGCGATGTGAAGGGTACCCTCTGCGAGCATCTTTCTATACCTAGGTCACGACTGTTTGGCGAAAAAGCGGACAAGGCGGATTTGTCCGGTCCGCAAGTGGATTTTCCTGCCTCTGCCTGTTCCAGGAAAGCTAGGAAAGGAAGCAAGGCTTCCAAAAAGCCCTTTTCGATCAATATGGCGGATTTGAAACATAACGGCGGACATGTTGTGCGTGTTCCGCACCCGGCATAATTTTTACACATCGGATTGTCTAGGTATAAGTGCTTCCGCAGGCCTTCCGCGGACGAGTTGTTTCTGGAAATTGGGGAAGGTAGCGTCTGCGAAGGAATCCGTGTGCATGATTTGCTACTACTTCCGGAAAAAGCAAATATAATGCTGGAAAGAGCAAATCAACCACGTCCCATCCGCAAGCTTCCACGGGAGAAACACCTTCTGCAAAGCTTCCGCAAACCTTCCGCGGCTGCAGTGTGGCGCTACCGTTTTTGCTGATATGTCCACCTCTAGACATTTGTGCTTGCGTGGGAAAGAAAACCGCCACTCATTTTGAATCGTATCGATTTGTTCTCTGTATCGGAGCTTTTGGCGTTTAGGGCGCCCTTGGGGGCGAAAAGGTCAGCCGCCAGCTCCGGAGCAGCGGGCTTGATGGCGCCTGGCACAGGAAGCGTCTCTCTGACATAAACAAACAAACTCCCACAAAACCAACTTGTTTTTGCAAAATGAGGACAGACATCCACCTAACTCAGAAATCACAAACTCGGCCAGGTACCTCGTTTTTGAGTTTGGAGGGTTCCCGCTCTCCAGGGCTCATTCGGAACAGCAACGACAAACCACGGCCCTAAGTAGGTGAGTTTGACCTTTTTTGAGGGTTCCCGCTCTCATAGGGCAGTTTTCAGGGTTCCCGTAGGGCTCATCCAGAACAGCTGGGACCAGCCGAGGCCAAAACCAAACAACCACCCAAGCTAGCGAGTTTGATCGATTCTGAGGCTTCCCGCTCCAATCAATAGGGCTCATCCAGAACAGCTCAAACCAGCCAAGGCCAAAACCAAACAACCACCCAAGTGAGCGAGTTTCATCGATTTTGAGGTTTCCCGCTCCAATGAGATTGATTTGTTTGGAGGATTCCCGCTCTCATAGGGCTCATCCATTGATCGTTTTTGATTGTGAGGGTTCCCGCTCTCATAGGGCTCGTGCAGAAGCTGCGACCTGTCGAGACCAAAAAGTTTGGCCCAGGCCAATTCGCTACAGGCGTAAGGTAAGTTCCCCCCACCCAGCCGGCCTGCTGCCACTGGAGCGGCAGCTCTGGATGTTTGATATACATTATACCTGCTATGCAGCAAGGCAGGGAACCATACTTCGATACAGAGTAAGTTCGGCACTGCGCTGCGCGCTGCCCTTCTGCAATAGATATGAATTACATCCAGTGGCGTTGAGCTTGTGGTATCGCGCCGTATCGTCAAGACGGCCCTGTTCAACCAAGTCGCTTTCGGCCGGCCGTGCTGAAGCAGCACGCGACATCGAACTTGCTCCGACCTCCGGTGAAGGCCAGCCCAGGGAGCACAGGCAAAGGCAGAAGGTCCAATGAATGTCGCAAGTACTCTTAAGAAGGAGCGAGTCTTCCAGCTGGTCAAAAAAGAAATGAAGTCCCAAGCGTGACGGCACAGCATCTGTGGTCAGCTTAGTCGCGCCCAGTTTGTAATTAAGAGATTTGCTTTCACCAGAACGAGCTGCGGTTGCGACGAGGCAGGGCCACAGTACTCGGCAGCTCCGGTCTAGTGCATTTGGAGAAGCATCTGCAAACGGCCTGCCCGTTCCAGGCTATGCTTTTTCTCGCCGAACTGAACCGTTCTATGAGGCCTCCAAGATGGCCCTCGGTGAGGCCAGGTGCCCAAGCGTCCACTTCACAGGCCGCTCCAGCGATCCACTCAGCAAGGAAATCGACCAGCTCTTCCTCCAATGTCAAATCGCTCCTGCCCCTCGTCCAACGCGGCGTCGCCTGCCGGCAGATGGATGCCATGTGGACCATGCCGTTACGGCTCTCGGAAGACTCTTTGACCACGGCTGCACGCTGAGCGGCCGGCGCTACCGCTCTGATCGCTGCGTTGCCGTAGGTTATTTCACGCACACTGCCGAAATGATCAGCTTCAGTTCAGGTTGACAGGAGGGAAAGTGCTGTTCAAACTCTCAAACCAGGGCAAGACTAACTGTCCGTCCTCTGTGACCAAGGCTCGCACCAGTGGACCAGTTGTGCCACGTGTTTGTCCTCACAAGCGTGCGTCAGGCACCGAGCACGCTTGTTCGATGTTCAGGACTAAGTTGCAAATTGCAAACGGCACCGATCTGACAGTGCCTGCTGCTTTCATACTGCATGTTATCTTACGCCATGGCGCTAGTGGGATAGCGGCCGGATCGCACTATACTCGCTAGCATCAGCCTAGGAACCGGCTTCTGCTGGCAACTATAGCTGATGCCAACGCACTGTCGGCCGCACTCGGTGGCATTGCGTGCTGCAGCAAGGTGCGCAGAATCACACAGCAGGCGCTCTGCCTTGCAGCTGCTGGCCAGTGGCAAATGGTAACCAATCAATCTTAGCCGATGCCAACGCAAGTCAAAGCCGCGCAAAATCGATGTGCAAGTGTCCGACTACACGTGCCTGCGGGCACCCAACGTGCCTTTGTTTTAAGTACGAGAAAGACAGGCTCGAATTACCAATTTCTGCTCGATGGGCCGGCCCACTTGGGCAACCCGCAAAGGGTTGTGTACTTAACAGAGCCTAACAGAGCCTGCTCGACCCCCCAAAACACGCTGGCCCCCCGAAAAAACGCTCGATCAAATCCCTTCTTTCATCCGGAGGAAGGTGGGCAATTGTTTCGTTTTTTTAAGTTGCACTCATTTGCGGATATTTGTGCTCGTTTTGCGGAAATTTGCGCTCGTTTTGCACTTCGATTGCTGCTCGTTGCTTTCAGCGACCACTCATCTCGGAGGACCGATCAGCCCGGTTTTGGGAAAAACGCTCGAGGCAGGAAAAAGTGTACGCTTGCCATATTTGGGCGACGAGCCCTGGTTTTGAAAGAGGTTTGGGCTAAGGGCAGAAATTTAGGTAACGAATGGGTTCTCCAGGACAGAGCGCGGTTTGACCTCTGCCACTACGGCCCATCTGAGCCTGCAGAGGCCATGGCCTCCTGGCAGACGGGACTGAATTTTATTTGGGGAGGGTTCGTCATGCATTTAGGTTGTAGGTCCATTTGGGAGGGTACTGCAGATTCACCGCCAAATTACAAGTGCTGTCCGACCGGCTCAAGCCGAGACCTCAAGCTTGCAGGTTCAGGACGTAGCCGCTGTCGGGCCGCAGTTTCCCGGGGCCGGAGGAAGCTCAGTGAGCCGGCAAGCGAGAGGTCCGGCGGAAAATTTTCGCGGCCCCGGCCCTGGCACGTCGGCAAATCAGACGCCGGAAATCCCGCAAGCCGCAGCGCCCAGCGAATCCCGAACACGCTGGCGTGTGCTTGGAGAGTACCCTTTAGGTTGAAATCAAATGGACACCAGCCGTTTTGTGCCAAGAAATGTTGAGCCAAACCCTTCTACGGACATCTGCGATTCCATCTGCCAGCAAGCGGTCAACACTTCTAATCGTGGCCATGGTCATGGCTCGCTTAAGAGGAATCCTCATCATTGGTGGCCAGGCACAAGCGGATAGGACTGCGGCTTCTTTCCGCCGGAACTGTCCGGGTTAGCCTCTGCATCGGGGCTTCAGCGGCACCCACCTAGTGCAGCTCGCAGCACGCTTAAATCTTTGGACGATCTTGAGAAAGGAAAACCTGGCGGGGGGAAAATCCCGATCAATTCTTACCTGGACGATCTTAGGCTCGTGTCCAGTCTAATCCCAATCAATGCTTAACGCAGGAACAACTGGAGCTGGCCAGTTCAGCCGTGCTCCAAAGTGTGATCTTCATTGCCCAGCTTTCTGCTTTTGGCACAATCCGACAGACCTCCGAATTTCCCGTGTTGACAGTAAGCATGTCAAGCCATTCGTTCAAGCTGGAAGAATCAACTGCTCTGCTGCGTCAACTTGTTGGCTGATGACCCGTTGCTCAAATGCCGAAGCACAACCAAGTGAGGCCGTTAGGATCTCCGCAGCAAGCGGATTCAGCTGCCATGTGTTCTGCTTTGGGTTCAGCAGCTCACGCGCGGACAGCATGGCGGTGTACACAAATCGCAAAGAGTATGTGTCAAAATAGGTACCGGGAGCCCCAACATGGCTAAGTGTTCTTTTTGGTTTCCTTCCACCAAAAATGGCATCCTCCAAAACCATGCACCCAACCAGTGACTTCCCTTTTGAGCCAGTCGGGCGTGGCAACACCAGAAGTGGGTATACAGCTTGATCTCCGCATTTCAGTCACTTGGCCACCAAATAATCCACCGGGGCTGTGAAAAGATGGGCTCAAACTTAGGCCTGTCCCAAGCTCCGTGCCCGTGATCCTCCGCCGGATACCCCGAGGACAAGACCTCGGCTCTCGGAAGCTGCCCGGAGCCAGCTGTGATGATGTACACATATGAGCCACCTTCAACACTTATTCGATTGGTCCTCCAGATTTGAGAGGTTAGAATAAGTTGGTACCAACCCTTTTTTTTCGGTTTTGCCTATTTAGTAGGGGGCCCCTCCCCCAAAAAAGGGTAAAAGGGCACTACTGGGGGATCTAGTATTGTATCCCCAACTGACATGGGACTTTGGCGATTCACCCCATTTTCTCTCCAAATGCTTGGGCGCCTTTTGCGATCTGTGGCGATGACTCGATGACATTATGGTATGTGTCAAAATAGGGGAACCCCAAAATTGTGGTCATGTCCCTTTACATCGTGCTAAAGAAAGGGGTGCTCGCAAAACACACACCCACACCCATCTCTGTGCGGGATTTCAAGTGGATGCAGGCTTCCAAGGTGAAGCTGGCACAAGGCCTTCACATGCGCGAGCTCTTGTCACCCCCTGCATTCGCTCTCATTCTCTCAACTCATCGCTCGGGGTTTTGTTTTCCCGCGGCCCGATCGCCAGTTGCCGTTTTTTCTTCCATGCACTTTACCCCAAAAACCGGCAACCGTGGCTGAAAAAGGCAGCTTGGCCATCTCCCTGCTTCTTCATATGGGGCTGTGCCACTCCAAGAGTCTGAATCCCCACGAACATCAGGGACACCCCCATATGGCTGTGGCTCAAAAAACCGGGCCAAAATGGAACCCTGGTAAGTGGAAACATGGACCAACACCTGCGGTTTGCCCCTCCTGTTTAATTTTGAGCCACCCTCATATTACCACAAGGGGCTTCCCTCTCCCGTCCAGGGGCTTCCATTTTTTTCCCCCGCGTGCCAACGCGCGTGGAAAAAAACGCCGCGGAACCCGAAACCCGGGCTCGCCGGCGCAGAAGGGATTCATCTGGTGCGAGGACACCCCGCGGTTGCTGCCCAGGTGGGTCATGCCCTCCTGGAGCCTTCGAAAAAATTCGCCACCCCGGAAAACCTGCGGCCTTGCTGGGGGCTGGGGGGGGAAAGAAGGGGAGGGAGGGAGGGAGCCCAAATAAGCCCTAAATATGGCCTGAAGGGCTTAGCAAGTGCGTATTTGAGCTCCCTCTCCCTCCCCCTCCCCTCCCCCGGAGCCCCCAACATTTTTGGAGGGGATCAGCACTCAGACCACGTTAGCTGACCAGCCAGAATGCGATCTCTGCAAGCGCACAACAAATTCGCCAGTATGCGCATCTCACTCGCTTTTGGTAAAACGTCTGCTGCTTCGACCCCACTTGTTCTTGTTAACTCTAAATGGTGCCCTACTGTGCTTTGAGGGAGTTGTTCAGGGATTTCCCATTTGCCGTTCAACCCTTTGGGAGCATACAGGACCCTCCAAAAATGTAGGCGCCCTCAAAATGATCCGCTTGGCTTCTCCAGTTCCAAAGGCCACACCCTGCAAAGATCAGCCAAGAACCCCAGCACCAGGTAAGCAAAACATTGATGTTCATGGGAAGTCGAGAGCAGCCCTCGTTTGGTCAATCACGTTGAGAGGACTAGAACCTAGACCAGTGCCACCGAAACATTTGGGGCCAAATCAACAGGGTGCTCATTCCAGCGTCGTGCATGCTCAAGCGTGCGTCAACTGCAAAGGGATCCATTTGTACTGCGCAGAATGTTCAAGTGCACACCAAACCACCCTCCTCTTGGCAAGAAACTCAAGAAACTCGTCGCTTTCAGCGACACAGTGCCTGCGATCCTGGTCACCGGTGTCGGAAGTCATGGCTGCTCCCCCCCCTGCACTCATGCCCCCATGCAATGTGAAAGCGGTATATAACTTGGGGATGGTCCGTACCACGTAATACAGACCTATACATGTGTATATGTATATATATATACATGAATATATAAATATATAGACACATGTTTATATATTTATATAACATTCACAAATGCATGCGTACAAAGACAACTGTCCAATTGGAGAATAATGTGTATCTCGCCCTCTCTATATCTTTGGTGAAAGTCCGGTCCAGTCAGTGGCCAACGGACAAGAGACAACCACTTTGCGTTGGTTGAATTCCAAGATCAAACCGATGAACCAGCATTCCTCCGCACACTATCAGCGCAGGTTGATCACAGCTAAGAAACCACAAGCAACGAAACTGAAGTCTGCCCTCAAGCTGACGGTGGGCTGCAAAGATTCGCGGTGTTCCAGAGATGTTCCATGTCATTTACAGATTGATCAATTGCTAATAACAATAACAATAATAATAACACTAATAATAACAGAAAACTAATAATGATAATAATAATAGTGATAATAATAATACTACGGGTAATAATAAGTAGTTGTCATAATGCCACAACAACATGCAATGGCAACACAATTCAAACACACACACACACACACACACACACACACACACAACGCACACAATAATTAGGAACAAACGATTCGTCATTTAATACGGCACCGGCACCGGCGTATTTTTTTGCGTATAAGCACTTTGCACATGGGCCGCGATGTCTTGATTGC